TGCTGAACTGAAAACAGTTTTAAATAAGAAACTACCTCTAGCACAATGACCTTCTGTAACTGAAGGCAATAGCTATAATAATAGTTCGCTTGTTAGCACTCAGGGCAGAGAGACTTTCCCTAAAAACCTCGGAACTGAATCAAGGAGGGAAATTCGGGCACAAAGGCTGAACAGCTTTAGGTAACTCTCAACTTGCAGTGAGACATAGCTGGCTTAAATGTTGAGATTGCTCAAGTCTCATGGGTGTGTTTTTCTCTAAAGTTCCTATTTCTAAACTAATCTTTTTGTTTTAGAGACAAAATTGTTTGGGACAATTGAGGTGCTGCATAAGGCGTAAAACCAGAAGTTAGGTGTAATTCAGCTTCATTTGCTCAAACTGCAAACATCTGGTTATCTCAGTGGGCTGGATGGTACTTTTTTCTCTGCTTGTAACTTTTCGGCATTGATACAGAGGCATTTACAGGAAGCAGAAAAAAGGTGTTGCCTCAAGAAAACAAGAGCAAAGCTCTTGACTATTTTTATCCACTGATGAGGGATATAGTGGGAAAGAGCTGCTTGCGGAGCTGCTTGAACTTCTTTTAGTTTTAATCATTCTGAGTTTTAATCATTTTTAGACTTAAAAAAAAAAATCTAAATATTTGTGATTGTGTCCTGCATGCAGATAGTATTCAGAAATTTCTTTTTCCACTTCTAAAAGAGCAGGGAAAAAAAAGGTTGTTAGTGAACAGTGCTATTCAATTAAAAGTGTGGGAGGAATTCAGGAACATCTTGTCATGCATCCGCCTCTATTGTCTCTTGCGTTTGCACTTGGACTGTAAACACTTGGGTTGTCTGGGATGTCCTTTGTTGTTGTTGTTCCCACAAGGGGTGCTGATCCTGGGGTGCCCTCCCGTGAGCTGCGTGAGGAGGACAGAACGGTCGTGGTGAGAGCCTCAAGCCTCAGCTCCCTGGGACAGGCACCCCTTGCTCGCTGCGGCACCGCGCTGAACAGCTGGTTCCCCTGGATCTGCCTTCACTTCTTCTTTGGGACCCAGTAGCATTGCAGCACGGCAGATGGACTGCCGAACACATGGTAAAAATAGGGTGGGTTTTTTTGTTGTTGTTGCAGTGGGGATGATGTTCAAATGCCTAAAAAGCTAGGTCAGCTCTTATCTGACATCAGTGCAACGTGGGTGTTTAAAGCTCCCGTCCCAGGAAACATGGTTGTAGAGGATCTCAGCTTTCAATTTTAAGTGAGCATTTCCTCTTAGGGTTGCAGGTGGAAGCTTGAACATGTTCATCTAGTTCATTGCATAAATGTAAAAGGGAAAAAAAAAGGTTAAAATGTTGGATTGCTAACCTTTTCAGTTTTAATTTTAACTGCTCGAGGTTTTCAGTGTTGTCAACTGTTTGATGGTTTAAAACAACAAAATGCAAGACAGGCTTCTCAAAGCTGTCATTTCCTAGAAGCGTCTATCTTTAATGTGAAAGGGCTGGGACTACAGCTGGGAAGCTTCTAGCAAGGCGTGAAGGAAGTAAACACTTTCATGTGGCCCTTAAAATGCGATTGTGCAGTTCTTGGAGTCTGAAAGTGAAACTTGCGATAAACAAAAATGAAACCAGCTCTTACTGAAATAAATCAAAGTGTCCACCGTCTGTGAAAGGACAGTGTTCCTTTAAAGATTGTTGGAGTATTTCTCCAAGATAAATGGATGCAACAAACCAATTTGTTCCTCAGATAAAGGTTAATAAAACCTCAGAGGTTCTGCATCCGCTGGGGTTGAAGATGGGTCTGCTATGGCTAATTAATCATGGTGATTTAAATATAATTCTCCTGATGCTGGCATTAGCAAAGCAATAAATGTTGTGGATTAGAATTCCCATTTTGGAGATCTTTATTGTGCCTGGCACAGCTCAGAGGCATCATTCCTCCCCCACTTATTATGCTTTAAGTATTTGGATGTTTGCACTTAACACATTTTTTTTCCACATTCAGCAAAACAGAATTTGTGGTGGGTGTCTTATGAAGAAATGTCCAGACTTGATTTATTTCCTGGCCTCAGTTGTCTGTCGTAAGGCAGGCTTACAGGAATTTATCCCCTGTCGTGCTGGCAGGGGCTGGCACCCGAGGTTCCAGTAACTCGCAGCAAGCAAAGCGGGTTTCATCTTTACCAATCTTATGTGCTTTTTTTAAATTGAGTCCACCAAAGGCACAGCTCTTGCTTAGATGGTGGATTTTTGCTTTTATGTTCCAAAGGACTAACAAGTGTAGTGTTTGTGAAGATGGGAGAAGGACCAGAGGCTTCGGGGTGGGCATCAGTCCTGGGCTGCCCTGGTGATTCAGGGTTCCCCTGCGGTTTTGCTGGTCCTTGCTGCAATCCCACCTGCTGTCCTTCTCTGAAAGGATCTAGCGATTTTTTTATTTAAGATGAATTTTGTTAAGGAACTGGGGGGGCGCTGGCAAACCAGGAATTGTAGTAAATCCTATGGCAAGATTTGGCATTCAGTAGCAATTTTAACCTACTATACTTGAGTCTCTTATCTGTCAGAGATGCTCATCTTCTTTGGTAGCTTTGTGTTTGCATTCTTATGAGTGATTGCTGATGGGCTTGGCTAACCAATACAAGTGATAGTCTGATATGTGAGTTTGAGGAAAAGCCAAGTGGTAACTCATAAATAGCGGGTATCAAATACAGTTTTTCCTGTTGGTTGTTTCTAACATATTTAAGATACTGAAGTCACTTCCATTCTGTTACTCTGGGTGCTTTAAGAATATGTATCGTTCAAATACTGATGGTGAGTTACTCAAAATACATATTTTTAATACATTTTTCTGAAGATTGTGTCACTTGCTCAAATCCATCCTGCTTTGTTGTTATGGGTGCGGTTGGGTACTGAAAGCAAGGGACTGCTGCCTGCAAGTAATGAGATTAGTGAAATAACTAGGTCAGGGTTTTTTTTTTTTTTTTTTAAATTATTAAATCGATGCTGATTACCAAAGTCCCCTATGAGAGCCGTGAAACCAGAAGGTCTGGAGCAGTCACAGGTTGAGCCCGAGTCCTGTTAAAACCAGTAGCATCTTGCCCTCCGGCAGATGCCAGCTTGGCAGTCCTGCTGCTGGGCTTTTCACTGTGTTGCACTGTTTGTAACACCTGTTACTCAGTTCCTTGCTCACCCCTGTCATTCCGTTATTAATCGCCATCTCTTCCAGTTCAAATAGTAATTTGCTATGTAGTGCCTTGACAAATGCTGTACCGAAGTTTGGAGAGAATAGGAGATTAGAGTAGGTCTAAAAAACTGGCTATCCTAGAAGAGAGGAATGGCATATAACCTGCTGCCAGTAAATGCAAGTCACATTTCAAAGTGTTTTCCGGGGTGTCTGGGTATTACCAAGGTTAGGATGAATACTCTGGCAGGCTGAATGACACACAGAGGCCATATAAATGCAAGGTGCTCATATTTAGGGTAATGGAGGACAGATTTCTGTGGAAAGAGGAGACAGAGCAAAAAGCTAAAATGGTTATTGGATCTCCGTGATATCAGCCTCTGGTGGTTTTGGTTACCTGGTTAATGCCAGCTGAGGAGTCATCTTTTGTAGGTGGTTCACTGCCAACTATGCACTTTTGAGCGTGGGCTGTGGTGTTTGTTGCTGCAGTTGCGCATATTAATTTTCAGCTTGGAAAATAGCCACACTGGTCTGGAATTTGGTCATCTTCATCTTCTTCCTTTTTGACATAGCAACAATATTCCCAGGTTAACTGCTGACTTTTGAGAGTAGAAAAGTGTGAAGTGCCTTGATTCTTTTATGGTAATGATACTCCACTGTCAGTCAGTTCTCATTTGCTTCCATTTCCTACGTTGCCTTCAGACGCAATAGATCCTGACAGATTTATGGGCGTTAAACCCAACCATTTAGTTCTGAAAACCTTTACAAAAGTAGGATAAGGAGGTCTGATTCCATCCTTTCTTGCCACGAGGGGCAGTTCAGGCAACCTACAGACCTCCATGAATGCCTCCTGTCTTGATCATGCCCCAGATTTTGACCTTTAATTTGTCACGTAGACCTCCAGCAAAGGTCCAATACTAAACTGGAAGGTGGAGAAAATAATTGGCTTTTTTCCCTGGCACTGATATTAATGTTTGCTGTAGCTTCAGATGTGACAACATATGGTACTGCCTTGAGTTCTCTTATACCTACCACTGCTGGATATTTTGAGGATCATTTGTAAAAGCATGTGACAGCAAAAGTGTGCTACTGGCAGAGTTGCCAGCGTGGTTGTGGGTTTATTACAAATGCCAAATATCAACCAGAAAATAAGTTAAAAAACCATCTTATTTTTATTCAAAGTTGCTTTATAAAGTTTATGACAAGTGAAAACTAATCCAAAACGCCACATCTAAAATACAAAGACACTGTCCAAATGCACCAAGGTGAGGTCTTCCCAACTCAACCAGTTTCATGAGAAAGAGCCTGCACCAGATTTAACGAATGGCCTCTGTTGGACTGGATGGGGAGAGAATACAGACTTCGGGACTGCGGAGCCTCTCCTGAAAGCTCCTGGCTTTGGAGTGTGCGTCAGGGATCCAGTGAGTTCATTTCCTCAGATCTGCATCAGCTCTTAGGATGATGCCAAGGAGGCAGTGATGCACATGCAGCCTAGAGTATGTGCTGCTTTACAGGACAAAGCCAATCCCTTGAAATTAGCTGGAAATCTCCTAGGCTTTGCAGGTGGGAGATAACGGATGGCACGTTCAGGCTTCTTAGTTGCAAAATAGGAATATTCTGCTCTAATGGAGTTGAACACTCTTTGAGAGCAGACTTGTGTAGATGCTGCTTAGTAATCCTGTCTGGAGGCATCTACAGTTAGCTGAACAAAGGCTGGTGGGGAGGGATGTGCTTGCCTGGACAACAAGAAAACAAGACTGTCCTGCAGCAGGGAAGCCTGCACTGGAATGTGATAGCCACTGGCTATTGGGGAAGAAAGTGCTTTCGGAAAGAACCCCTCCCCCTTCCTTGTTTTCATAAGGCTACCTAAAAAAACCCAACAAAACCTCTTTGTAGTAGTTCGACAAAAACTCCATGCTGCTAAGAATGATTAAAAATGATCATTACAAGCACTACTTGAAACAGAAACTAGAAACAAAGGCAGGTCAATAAAATGTGAGTACTCCAACTTTGCTTCTATGAGATTTTTTTTTCCCCATGTATACTTTTCTTACCTATAAAATTACTCTTTCAGACCTGTGCCTTGTCCATGCCTGTTGGTGTGAAAGAGGAAATAGTGTGCTTTCATAGCGCAAGCACTTGTAATATTGTTTCCGGGAGACATTTAGGCTATAGATAACTATATTACTGCTATGTCTTAAGTAGTTACTGTTTGACAGCATATGACAGAAAGAATGAATGGGAGAAGGAAGTAGAAATAATACAACACTGATGATACGAAAAGTGCAGGCTGGGATTTAATTAGAAATTGAAGCCTGATCGAAGTGCTTGGTGGTAGGCAGATGATTCCTAACAAAAAATGTCACGGTGTCTGTCATGGCCTGTACTGATGGCAGTGCATAACCTCTTCCTTGGCTTGCAAAACAGTGCAAGAAACTGTACAGTGGCTCAGATTTTAACAGAAATGAGTCTTGACTTAAGTGGGGAGAGGAAAGGAGATTGAAACACCCCATCCAAAGGAGACACCTGTAACATGTCCCAAAACAATGCTCTCCTTGTGCTCGAATCTTTGCCTAGCGGGCTTTTTCCAAAGATTTGTTGCCTTTATGTTTTATCTCTCCCTCTGCTGGGTTGAGTAACCTGGCATTGGAGGTAGCTGTGCTCTGAGCAGGGGTCGGGCCCTGTGACCTGCTGGGATCCTTTCCAAACTAAATTATTCCTTGATTCTGTGAAACTGTTTGGAAACAAGGGTGACAGTTCTGGGTCTGACACGTGGCACTGAGTCTGATGGCTCCATGTTCCCAGAAACCCATTGGTGGCCGGGCTGACAGAGGGCTGCAGAAAGGCTCCAAGAGGAGCTGCGTGGACTTTGAGAGCATGGCTGGTGACTGGCACTGCAAGGACTTTGAAACCCTGGACTTCCTGAACTGTGGGAGCTGAAAGCTAACTGCGAGACTATTCAAAGGTACAAGCGCTTATGCATTAGCAAGGGAGATAATTTCTCTTGGTCAGTGTGTAAAGAAGCTCCGGACAGTAAGATTTGAATTCTACCTTAGATGGGAAAGCAGGATGTTGCTTGAGATTTGATCTCTAAAAGCAGGCAGGAACAACCTGCAGAATACCAACTTGGCTGCTGAGGATCTTCTGTTCAACATGTACACCCATCCCCTCATAGACCTGTTTGCCAGCTGGGCTAACAAGAAGCAACTCTGCATATGGCAGAGTGGAAAGGTCATTTCCAATATAATAAGGTTGGCAAGAGAGAGTCAGGAAGTTCAAATAAAAGGATAATGTGATAAAAGTCTCTGAAAACAGGACTGCTGCAAGTTCTTAAGTGGGAAAAATACAGTGATGTTGAAGCTGTTACAGGTTGCTGCTTCCAAAAGACACCGATGTGTTCCGTATTGCCACTCTTTGAAGCAAACAACACTGAATGGAATGAATTTTTGGGGAGTAAACACAGGTGGTCAAGGATGGATCAGCGTTGTGATGCAGAGGAGTTCCTGAAATGGCACTGTGGGACTCTGTTCTTTCACCAGCTCCACGTGATTCATTTGCTGGTTCAACAGGTCACATTGATCTTCATGTGTCACAACCACAGACCTCAGCCGGTTACTTTTTGGCTTGTGCATTATCAACGGGATAACAATTTTGCAATGGGATCTTAATTTCTCAATTCTGTTGATGTGAGAGCCAAAATCTATGCTGTTCGTCAGTTGCATTAATTCTGCAAGGCCAACAAAAATGAGGAACAGTGTAAATAAACTAATAAGAGCAGATAAGAGAATAGATGTGTCCTGTTTCTCATTCTTTTGCTGACTAAAATTACAATTTTTGGAATGAATAGCATGCCTGAAGCAGAAAATGCTGTGCTAGCTCAACAGGGTCTCCTAAAAGTTGCTATTAGCTGCTGGAATTAGAGATGGAAAACGCCTCCTTACCCTGTAGGAAAATGTCGTGTCTACTATTGGCACGCAGCATCTCAAGTCAAGAATATAAAATGTTTGCTTTAGCTACCTGCAGTAAAGCAGTTTGACTGGTCTGTCCAGCAAAATATTCTTCTCTTCCTGGAAACAGGAGGCAGGTACCCCTCCAGCTTGTTGCCTCTGCAGATGAATTTTAAGGAAATGGCCTGTTGGTGCTTTTTAGAGCCTTTTGTGGAAATTGTGATACCTGTGGAAGGAGGGGAAGTGGTACATCGTATGCTGAGTCGTGTTTGCTGAACTGTGCCCTCACAAGATCAAAACCCTTTCAAAAGTTGGTGTGACGTCTTAGGAGAAAAATGCAGCGTGGGATCTTTCTGTTGAACCTTAGGTGGTAGGAGGTTCTTCTGCTTTTAGAAGTTACACTGCTGCTGTAATATGGGTGCTCAGGTGAGGGACCCACAGGCCCAGTGTTGGGGAGGTACGGCTCCGACTGGGGTGCTGCGTGGTGGGGGAGTGCTGGTGCTCCCCCAGATCCCCAAATAGACTGAGTCTTCTTAAGAACTTAGTGCAGGACTCTTCTGCATTGAAACTGCTGCCTTACATCAGTTGTTCAGTGAGGTGGTCCATAATTTGAAATGGACTTTGTATTTTGTGCATATGGTGACTCCATAGAGGCTTGTCAGAAGCGTGGCCGTTGTGCACTCACATAAAATAGAGGAACAGTGCAGTTCAGCAAGTGTTCGGATCCACTGATGTACATTCCTATAGCCTGCTGGTTGGGTTTGTTCCTCTTCCTAGCTGGTTGGGGTTTGTTGGGCTTTTTTGTTTGGTTATTTTTTTGGTGTGTGGGGGTTTTTTTGGTTTTTTTGGTGGTTTTTTTTTTTTTGAAAGATGGTACTTATAAAATGAATTCTTTCAACATGTTTTTCAGTATAAACCTCCACACATTTTCTTTGCCTTATCGTAAATTTTAAGTGAAAGAAAGTGAAAATTTTAGACTTTGTTACAGGTTTGTTTGCAACATCAATGTTTTTTAAGATATGTTTGTTTCTTAAGAAACTGTGTAGTGTATTCTAACTTCCAGGTTGCCCCAAAGCCTATTAGAGGATGTACAAACCACAACCTGTAAAATGCTTCTGTTTTCCTGTGTTTTGTGCTTTTTCCCACCCATGTTTTCAGACTAGCAGGAAAACATGGACTTTTGTGAAGCGGTGCACCACGTGGGGGACTGAGACCTCACACGGTAGTCCTTTTCCATCCTAAGTGTCCTGAGGACCAGCTGATTTGGCTCTGCTCCTGGACTACTTCACTATTCCAGGAAGAAGTTTTACAGGAATGCTGATCTTATATAAAGCACATGGCTAATTATGAAGGAATCATTCTAGATTGGAATCTTGCAGGAACATACTGTAATTATCATTTAGATCTAAATGAATCCAAGCACTATTTTCTCAAGTTATAATGTTCTGTTTATTAATGCATTTCCTCTACTTGGCATTCAGCCCCAGTAATGCAGCGATAGTGTGTAAAATGTGGAACAAACGACATCTCTTTTTGAAGAGAATGCCTGGCTCCCAAAACATGATAACTTTTAATGGAAAAGGAAAGGAATGATGAGAAAGTAGCGCTGACTAGATGCTAAAGCAATGTAGCTCATGAATTTGGAGATACGGGGTTTTCTTCCTTTGTGTTGTTTGGTGATCCTTAGCTGTATTTTAACCTCTTTATGTATTTTAGAGTTTCCCAAGACCATAACTTGTGACTTTTCAAATGATTGCAGATCATTGAGTAAAAGATTACCTTTACAGAAGATACTGACAAAGCATCTTAAAAGTGTGTCTGTTTAATTTTAGGACAAGGAAACCTGCATGGGTGTCAACAATCAAAGTTACATATGTGAAACGGGCCACTGTTGTGGACAATCCCAGTGTTGCAACTACTACTATGAACTCTGGTGTAAGTCCTTCCATTTTGTATGGCTTCCCTTCCTAATCTGCATGGCTCTCATACCATACTACAGGTCTGGCTTGTGTCCCATGGGGGTTTGTATTCAGCCCTTGTTATGCATTGCCATTGCATCTCACTGCAACAGAAACGAGTTGACCTGATATGGCAAGGGAAATAGGGTTGTTACAGTAGGCATCGCCTGCTTTTTGAGGAGTAATGGGTCGTCTTTCCACGTTCATCACTGGAGATTTGTTGTTTGTTCTTCTCACTGGTTTGGGCAATACTGAGGGTACCCAAAATAACACTATATGCGAGTGAGGAAACCAGGCTTGAGGGAGAAACGCCGATACGCACAACACTAGAGTTTGACATGCTCAAACAGAGAATTAATTCAGTATCTTTCATCTTATTGTTTTAGTTCTTTGCAAGAAGGACAGTTTAAATCTGATTTATCTTTTTAAAGCTGTCCTTTCAAGGAGGGGGGCCAGGATGTTTATTCTCTTCAAGACGTATTGTGTTTGGAGCACAGCTCCTTGGGTGGAGAGGGTCTTGGGCAAAACTTGTGGGCTGACAGTGGCTGAATACCGTGGGCTGTGAGGAACACACACTGCCCATTGCAACCCCTCTTCTCTCCTCTTTCCCAAAATCTGGAATTTAAAACTACCCATGATTCTAGTGAGTGGTTGAGTGAATATACCTAAGTCCCGTTAGATGACAGCAGGCAGGTCAAAGCAGGTCAGCAAAACTCTGGTAAAGATATATGGAAAAATGGGGGGTTGAAAGGATAGGGAGGTAAGAGATGCTGAATTTTAAAGGCAAACTTTGAGTTGTGCCAGTCTGATGGTGTCTTCCTTTCTTGAGGAGGAGCCGAAAGTGTTCTATATTGAGGTTGAACATTGATGTTGACCTGCTGTTGTACTGCCAGGAGCCTAGGCTGAGAAGGTGTCTGTGCTCCCAGAATTTGGAAATGTGGAACTCTGAACACTGTACCCCCACATTAGAGACTGGAGATATTTTCTTACCACACCCAATGGTATCCTGTAGCTTTTATGCAGCTGTGCTATCTACTTAATCCCTCTGCTGTGCCCACAGTTTCACTTTCTCAAAGTAGCATGTGTGTGGAAATGTATTATACATACAAAGAGTGTCACTTAACCTGGATCCAAGGACAGGAATAGCTGACACCTTATCCTTTAGTCTAGAAACATGCTTTTACTTTTCAAATTAACCAGTGAAGCGTGGAGGACGTAGTTGTAGATTAATGGACACACTGTGCATCAGACTGTAGTGGCTGGCTGTGTCGATATTAATTGCAGGATTTGAATGTATTGCAGACCTTTTACTTGCAGCTTTATTTTCAGAAGTCTCCAAACAGTTCAAGAAACGATTCAGGACTGGGTGGGCAGCTCCAGGGACCCTAGCAGGCTGAGAAACAGGCATGAATGCGTGGCTGCCTTGGACTGCCTGGTTCAGATCATAGCGGTCAGCAACACAAGCAGGACAGATGGCTGGAATTTGTTCGGACTATATGGGGATGCATGGACAAAGCAGAGTGGGGAAGGTCAGACCCGGTTTCGGATTTGTGTGGGTGGGAATGTAGAGGAAGAGGCATGTATATGCAAGGGCTTACAGACTCTGTAGCAAGCAGGATCTAAATTGAGCAACAGCATGGAGTACAGCTGCACACTGGAGCTTGTTGCACGGTCGCCATGTTTCTCCCGTGGACATCTTGAAAGAGAGGCTTAACTGAATTGCATACAAACAATACAGTCTGAACAATAGCCCCCTGTCATTTTAATGGAATGATTTTACTTAACTGTCTTTGTGCTCTCAGTATGGCACAGACTTTTATACTTGGCAGTGCCTGGCTGCATCATAAAAGTTCTTGGAAGATAAAACCAGATTTTTTTAGAAGGAAGCAGAATATTTCAGGCTTCTTTCTAGGGCAAGCACACAGGTCACACTGAGATCTTGGAATAAACATACTAGTGGCACATGCTGCTGGATGGTTCCTCAGGAGGAATGGGTTTCTGTGTTGAGATTCACATTCCTTCTGCATTGCAGAGCATCATATACCACACTGAGATGAGGGGAATAATGCAAGCATGAGACCCATTCTTCTAGGCTTTCTGCGAATTCAGGCAAATATCCAACATTGATTTAAAATCGGTTAATGTTTTCAAAGCTTGCTTTGCCATTATGAGTGTTAGAAAAAGGTTTCTGGGATTGGGAGGGGAGACGTGGGGGGGCACATCCTTTAAATTTAAGAAAACTCATATTCTAGAGCTGGCAACCACAGCTGCAGAATTTACCTGCTGCTCCAGGAATTGTTGAATATCTTTAGTAGGTACGTGTGGTGAGGCACACTTAAGACCTTCAAGGTGAATAGCAGTGATAGTATATGTAAATAGTCTAGAGCAGTGAATTGATGGTGTGGAGAGCAACAGCTTTACATGCTTGGGAATAGAGTAGCTTTTTAAAAGTTAATAATAACTTTTGGTTAATGAACAGTTAAGTTAGCACCTTTTAAGTATGGCTTCATGGTTGTTCTGTGTTTTGATTTTAACCAGTGTATGCATGTACTGAAGTAGCTTTTGAGAAGTTTCTGCTCCTCTTCACCTTCTCAGACCACCAGTGCTATTGTGTGCCTGAAAACAGGCTAGTGGCTAGTCCTGTTGAATTAAATCCTCGATTTATTTACCACCACAGCTTTGTGGAGAGAAGAAGCAGAGGAGAGTGGCATTTGAAATGCAAAAGAAAACTAGTCTGCCTTTGCTGGACATGCCTTCTGAAATGTGACCCTGTCTTGTGGCCACTTGGGAGTTTTTCCTGTAAAAAGGATCTTTTTCCCTGTTTAAGAATTTGAGGGGAGTTTGTCTTTGAAAATGGCTGATCTCAACGTTTCTAGACAGCAAGTCAAGTTGCAGTAATTACAAACCAGTCCTTGAGGGTAGTGGAATAGGATGCAAAATCAAGGTATTATTTTGTTAAGGGGTGGAGTGGAGGAGTGGAGAACATGATATGCTAAGCAGGTGGACAGCCTGTGTTTAAAATTAGATTACAGCCCGGTTCAGATTCCCCACCCATCTCTTATTAAAAAAAAAAAAATAGTGCCATGTTGCCAAATAATAAAACTATATCCAGATTTATATATATAGATCTAATAGCTATATAAAGATCTAATTAGTTCTTAGCTCAAGCTTGGTAGCTGGTAATATGGGGGGAAAAAAGTGCAGTATGTCTTTTAATTTTCTTGGAATAGAATCATAAAAAGTAAAAGGGAAGAAGGGGCTTTATTGTTGCATTTCCTCACATAGGGAAAGCTGTTTGTTTGGATGGTGGTTGAGCTGGTTCAACATTTTAGCCTAACAATTTCTTTGGGCTCCCCGGAGAGCTCACAGTCCCCAAGGGGGAGATTGTGGTCTTGGGAGAATGGCAGCAGCTGCTGGATTTTGCTTACTAACAGTTTTTATTCAGGTCTGTTATGATGTGATTGTGATTTGCTGGAGTTTTCCAATGTTGGCCTTTGTCCAGGCCTGACAGGTGTCTTACTGCGTAAATGTTCCAAAATACCACTTTTCAAAATACAGGAGAGAAGGTAATCAAGGAATGAAGTTCCCGCATTTTGCAGGTTAACAATTAAGGCTCAGACGTTCTGGATTTTCCCAAGTGTATAATGTGGACTGAAAACCAAATCCAGATCTCCTGACATCCATTCTTGTGTATCTCCTTGCCTATTGAGGACCGGCATGAAATTAGACTATTCCAGAGGCTCTGAACACAGCAAGCAAAGCTGTAGAAAGTATTTTGCATGGTGTGGTTGGAAGAATAGTACGCTGTGCTTCAGGAATCGTGGAGCATGGAAACAGGCAGCTGGTCACTGCGTGCAGAAGATCTCAGTCGTAGGATTTCAAAGTTAAAGAGCTTAGCTGGTCATTTAGGTGCTGTACAACAAACCAGCTTTGGCGATGAGTGAGCGAGTATTCATATGTTGGATGTGCCTATTTTGCTTCATTTTGGCTACTTTAGCAGTGATACTGAGCCTTTCTGTTTCTGAAAGAAAAAAAAGAAAAAAAGATCTTGACTGTCTGGGCCCTAGTGGAAGAGTTGTACAGGAAAAAATGTTCTGTTTGCAGGCAGCACAGTTGATGTTTTTGCTGATTTTGAACATTTTGCTCATCTCTGCACGCTTTCCCTTGGAATCTCTAGACAGCTCTTTTCCCCAAAAAGCATGCTGCCAGAGAATTTTGGCAAGGATCCGGTTAGTTGCTAAAACTAAAGCAACTGCCGTACCACGTACATATTCCAGGTCAGCTTTATAATAGGAATTCATTTCCAATACTTTGCTGCAGTCTCTAAAACCCGCAGTCAAACAACACATCAGTCCCGTGCTTTCTTCCTCACCCCGTGTTATCTTATCCTTCAGTATAACCACGTCCTTTTTTAAAGAGGAATTTGTCCTGTTCCTTGCCTTTCACTCAGCCTCCTACATGGTTATACTTGCTTTCTCTTTCCTAGGTGTACCAAACTCTACCTTTGGCTGCTGTTACTCCTCAGCTGGTGCTTCAGTGATAACCCTCTCATGACAAAGCCTAGCTGAAAGTATAGGGCAAACAAAACATGTCACAGCCATGCAGAAACTCATGATAAATAGGGTCACCAAGGGAGTTATTTACTGATTTCCGTGTACTTTTTGTAGCCTAATCTCTATTAGACCACTGTTCAACATACATTTTACCAACACAGATGTCTTGGGAGGGTTAGGTCAGCTGGAATTGACTGGACTTAAAAACGTGTCTTCTGGAGCACAGGAGCAATTGCTCTTCAAAGGCTCCCTCCCCAGGAGAGAGGCATAAAAACAGTGTCTGCAGATTTACTGCCTCAAGTTGACTCTCACTGCAAGATAAGCAAAGGATTTTTCTGAAACCTGTCTTCTTCCATCTTATCTCATGGCAGTGGGTGTACCATGTATACTGGACACTATTCTGAAAACTAGAAGCCAGCTGCAG